AGGTAAAGGGTTCAAATCTTAACCTAGTGGCTGACAATATTGATTGAGGTTTCCTATAGTTTTCTTCAGTCCCTCCAGGCAAATGCCACAATAATACTGTAAATTCATCTGTAAATGCTTCCTTCCACATTCTTTCCAGTTGATTATTCACTGATTATTTATTCTATCCCATCTAATCAAAACAACTGATAATTTAATAATCAATGAAATAAATAAATAAGGTTGAAACGTTTGGTTTTCAAAAGCTTCACTTTGCATTTGGTTTAATTAACTGTATGCTGTTACATTAGACATGTCAGCTAACTAACTAGATGGCTTATGGAACCCAAAAGTTCATCACCAAAATAACTAAAACCCTCCACCAGACCCTGTCCTGGGCCACAAATACCCAGTCTCCTTCAACTCCTATCTCCCAAAGATCCCACCTGAGATTATCCTTTCATTTACATCTAGGTCTCCCCAGCGGTCTCTTTCCCCCTGACCAATACCCAGTGCACACCTTTAACCCCATCCATGCATGCCACATGCCCTGCCAATCGCATTCTTCTTTACTTAATCACCCTGCCAATACTTGGAGAGGAGTATAAATTTTTAAGCTCATCATCATGCAGCTTTCTCCATACTTCATCTTCTCTCCTAGGACCGAATATCCTCCTCAACACCGTTCTCAAACACCTGCAATCTATGTTCCCCCCACAGAGTGAGAGACCATGTTTCGCACCCATACAAAACAACCGGCAGAGTTATTGTTTTGTTTACTTAATCTTCAGGTTCTTAGAAATAGACAGGTCAGAAGGCATTTTAATTTACTTTGTTCAACTTGGCAAAGGAATTTCAATGTGAAGCCCTTTGTTAAGGTTTCTACAACCTATACTCTTATTGTAATCAAAATTATTCTAAACAAGTCTTTTACAGTGTTCTATACAATGCTCAGAGAAGACTATATATCTTATTGGTTTTCACTACAACAGTGTCACCATCAAATTGTTTTTCTCACAGTACACATTAATGTAGTCATGTTTCTTCTATATGATGGTAGCAAACGCATTTTTTGCATCTACTTCAACAGAGATTTTGGATTAGTAACAACATTCTTTCTAGAGCTTACCATTGTCATACATCTGTTTATTCCAACAGCTTCTCATACAATCAATCTAGCATCCTTCAAACAACTAATTGTCAGCTGTTTCACATTTTCTGTGGCATTTTGACGATATGCAGAGTGCTGCTAGGAATGGGTGATGCTGTTTTTTTTAATTCATACAAGTGGTTAGAAGTAAAGAACAAACTGTTTTGAATGTGACTAATTGTATCAAAAGTGGAAATCCAAAGAGAAATGTATGTGTGATTGCGTATAAACATGCTAAAACTATAGGAATTTGAATTTTTCTATGTAAAATAACACCTTTATCTAGTTACATTTCTTCACGTACACGCAAATCTACCATCTAATGCTGATAGTAAGGTTAGAGGATTCTGGTATAACCTTAAAAACCACCTTTGGATCCAGTGTCGACACATAATTCAACCTAAAATTATACTTTGTTGAATGTGTATTACAAACCACACTCTCTGAAAGCCATTATTAAACGTCATGTTGGTGTAACTGACTGAGATCAACAACCATAAGAAATACCAACATATGTCGAGGAATACCAACATAATGTATAAGTTGTTTCTGCACAATTTCAGAATTATGTATCGGTTAAAGGAAGAAAGCGATTTTCAATCAGTTGTTGGAGTATTTCATCTGTTGTTACAGGTTACTGGTGCATGTTATTACATATTTCATATGCTTATAGTAATAAATGACAGCCTGAATTCCATTTACCGATACAATATTGTTTGTCTGAACTCTTATTAACGTTAAGGTTATGTAACCTCAGAAATCATTACCTATATAGTACATGTGAAAGGTTAATACAGCAGTTAAGTTTTCCGTTTGCAGATGTAATGTCATATACATCATTATACGAACGTGGTATGATATGCAGTTGAGTCTAATGTGTTATTTGGGGCCACATACTATTCAAACTTCCTGACAAACCAGTAATATTCATGCTGATACAGTTTCGTGAATGCTTTTAGACAGATACTGTTATATCACCATGACATTTATGTGAACATTTCTTGGCCAATGCATATCCACCCCCTTTCATGTCATGCATTTGATACATGATCATTAAAACAACCAACAAAACTACAAATATGTGGATATGCTATATATGAAAGGGTCAGTGAAGCATCAGATCAGTAGTAAATATTTAATCACAGTCTATAGTTGAATGGTAATTGATAACTTAATTTGTTGCCGACAAGTGTACCCAGTGCCAGAACCCAGGAGGAGAACATCATAATCACAGATGAACTTATAATGCTAAATGACAGACAGATGGCTTTAATTATGTCTCCTTCACAGCAGAATTTAAAACTTGTTTATTTTGTTTACAGGTGTTCATATAAAATGGAAAACCCAACCAGTGGTTACAGCTGTTATATAGGTACAGATAGCACTATTCATACATGTAAAGACACTAATGTAACAAAGAGGGAACCTCCAGTGTGGCTCACCTTCATTGGAATATTCTTCAGTCCTAGAGTTATGACAGCTGCACTTAAGTTTGGTTTGGCAGCGTGTCTTATGAATCGCTTTGAACGACTTGGGTTTGTAATAATGTTGCTGTGTTTAGCTTTGTACTAACCCAATGACGTAGACAAATCGATGTTGCCTGTTTCATTTCCTTTTCCTTTCGTATGTGATGAGAGCATATTCATTTTGTCAAGTTTGGAAGTTGTCCTTTTTTAGTTGTTTGTGAGGTGACTCTAAATCGACTGTATTTGTTCATTAAATGAAAGATACTGTTAATATGTTTCGTTTAATTAATAAGAAAATCGTGGGAAATTACCACAATTCTGTGTTGTCAATGAGACAAATGTTAAATATAAGTGGCATAAAACTGAACAGTGCTTCAAGAATTAACAAATATGTAACACAAGTTGGAAGTTTGAGCATTACAAATGCAGTACTTCAAAATGGGCTCAAAGTGTCGTTTGAGGCGCAAAAGAAGTTGTTTCATGTGACAGCTAGCAGACAAGCTCTGCCTCCTCTTTTCATCATCATCCTTAGGCCTCTGTCAAAGATCGCAGCAATTTTGTTTGGAAGGACTTTCAGGAAATGGTGGAGAGCTTTGCCGCCTGACAAGAAACAAGATTTGATACTCAGATTGAAGAGAAATAAGATGGTGTTATTAGGTGAGTGAGTTAGTATCCTGGGACTGTCAGACCAGTTTTCATGAAAAGCAACTTCATAATATGGTGAAGTTTCATAGGTTTAACATATAATGAAATATAAGATATTTCATTTCTAACCTCTGTGTTTGAGGCAAAATCATCTTTTTAATTATTTGCATTTCTTGAATTATTGTTTAACTACAACTATCATTAAATAACAAAAAGAACAGCCTTATATCATAATTTATGTCTCTTTTTTCAACCTGGAACTGCATGCCAGATTGCCTCAGTACTTTATTTTAGTTACTTGTTTTTATATAAATTACTTTGGTTTTTTTAGCATACACATACATAATGTCATAACAAATAAATATTTTTGCAGAATTCATGTCTTATATTAAATTATTTTTAACTAATTTGATTCAGTCACAGAATTTGTGTTTGTTAGAGAAACACTAATTTTTATGATGTAGTACCACTATGGATGCATCAGTAAACAGCATAGCAAATGAGGAATAAGTATGTAGTCATTATATTATCAATATCTCCTTTTATACACATTTCAGTAAACCAAACGTGCCAAAGGACACTTAATTTTACTGTGTTGTACAGTGTCAGATACAGCAAAGAATTAAAATCTAAAACCAGGATTTCTGATAGGGGTTTAGTATCACTTGTTCCAGAAGAAATATGAACAAAATGTAATTGCTGATGGAAGCATTAATCTTTTTAATTCTGGTTTAAATACTTTAATATCAAGATATAAACTTTTAATGGCTGATGGAAGCTTCTTGAATAATTTGATTCCTGTGTAGTATACTCCTTTCTCATATCCAGTGATGTTTGTGTTGTTTGTTTATTCTGTGAATGTCAGAATTTGAAACCTCTTAATTTTATCCACAGTGAATGGTAGTAATGAGAATAAGAATGTTAGAAAGGGTAAATATATTTCTTAATTAATCTCTACAAGAGATTCACTTTTTAGCACCTGCCATTGTTATGGTTTTTGTTCGGACCTTAAACTAATGTTTGCTGTCTGTTGAATTTTCCCAGAAATTAATGAGATACTGATATTCCCAAAAATTGGAACTTTATTGATTCTAAATTATTTCCATGTATGCAAAGTTTGGTAAAAATTAACATTGGGAATATATTTTTCAGTTGCTGATATCAGCAGATCAGGGCTGCCTCTTGACATGAGGGCCAAAATTATTTTAATGTCACCAGACCAAAGAAAACATTTAAAACAAGATTTCTAGGACTCTGTGAGGTAAACATTCTGTGCTGTAAATGTCTTTTTTTGTGTGTGTGTATGTGTGTCAGACAAACTGGTTGTGAAGATGTTAAATGGATTGCTAAGGTTCAGGATAGGATCCAGTTGTGGGCTTTTGCATTAAAAGTTACAAACATTCTTGTTCTATAAGAAGGTATTGTTTTAATTTTGTGTATGTCATCTGCTGTAGGAACTTCATTTAGAATGGGTTTTTCTTTTCAATATGAAGAATGATACAATTATAAATCACCCGTCAGGATCTCCAAGTTAATACTTTGATTCCCGTAATTGACAGTAATGTGAAACACATCTGATTAGGTTTGGTTGGCATTGACATTAAATTTTCTTAGATATTATGAAGAAAATTACCAAAAAGTTTAAAGTCACATTAGGGCAAAGTTTTAAGTCCATCTGCTCTGAAAATACATGACTCTATAACTAATGCTGACCAATATGTTCACAGCATCTGGTATTCTGGCTTCAACAGGAGTAGTATGGTATTACTCAAGTCATCTTGAAGAAGACCCAATTACAGGCAGGAAAAAGTTCATTGCTTTTAGTAATGAATATATCTTGCAATTGGCAAAGGTAGAACTTACAATGGTGAGTTAAATGGACAAGATGCAGATTAAGTCTGAGAGAACCAAAGGCAGAATTTAAACACTAATTTAATTCATTGATGTCTGACCATAATACTTCAACCTTATAATCAAAATATATGATGTGTAGGAAATTATATAACACAAAATATGTTACTAGGATGCAGAAGTTTCATTTAATAAACTTTTCTGCCTATTGAGTGTTTAAAGATGTGTTTAAAAGGGTATTTTGGTCTGGTATAACTAACTAGATGGCTTACCGAACCCGAAGGTTCATCACCGAATTAACCAAAGCCCTCCACCAGACCCTGTCCTGGGCCAACAAAATCCAGTCTCCTTCAACTCCTATCTCCCATAGATCCCGCCTGATATTATCCTCCCATCTACGTCTAGGTCTCCCCAGCGGTCTCTTCCCCTCAGGCTTCCCAACCAATACCCGGTGCACACCTCTTGTCCCATCTCATTCTTCTCGACTTAATCACCCTGACAATACTGGGGGAGGAGTAGATTTTCATTATGCAGTTTTCTCCATGTCCCATCATGTTCTCTCCTAGGCCCAAATATCCTCCTCAACACCCTATTCTCAAACACCTGCAATCTGTGAGAGACCATGTTTCGCACCCATTTTGGTCTGGTATAAAGTATCAATCTAAGGGTGGCTCGTTACAACTGGCGGCAGGAGTTGAGGCAGGAATGGGCTAATAGAGATGTCGAACTGTGTGACTGATAACACCATACTTCAGGTTGTGCTAGACTTGAACTTACAAATCTCTTGAATTTGCACCATGCAGTGATTCCCTGTGTGCTGAACATTCTGGTTTGCCTTGTTTCAGCAAAGCGAATTACACAAAGATCATTTTCTGCCAATAACACATCCTGCATACAAGCGAGTAGCTAAGGTTGCCAACCAACTGCTTAAAAGCAACATGGAGATCCCAGAGTTACAGCAAAGAAATTGGGTTGTGACAGTTGTTGATGAACCATCAGTCAACAATGCCTTTGTGTTACCAGTAAGTCATTTGTCTTATCTTATATTCTCTTTGAGCAATACCATGTTTACACAAGCATGTCATAATGGTTTGTATAACACAGAGCAGGCTCTAAGTTTGACGTGTTTTGTATGCAGACAGGTCACATATTCATCTTCACTGGAATCCTGAATGTGTGCACCAATGATGATCAACTGTGTGTGATTCTTGCACATGAAATTTCACATGTTCTTCTTTCTCATATGGTAAGTTATGTAATTCCCCAGGAGTTTGTTTGCATTGAATTCTGCTTTTGGGTTATTAATAATGGTAAACTGTAAAATTAGTGGAATTTTATCTCTATGTCCTTATACAACTTATTGATGGTTAGGCAGAGGGACAAATGTTACTGCTGCATGCTGCTTTTGTGATATTGCAGGATGAGCAGATTAGCAGCCTACACCTTGTGGATCTCTTGATTCTGATACCCCTGGCATTTATATGGGCTGTCTTGCCAGATGCTGGAGCTCTGATGGCCCAGGGGCTCTCAGAATACTTCACGAAGGTGCTGTTCCATTTACCATTCAGCAGAGCACTTGAAGCTGAGGCAGACCAGGTTGGCCTCCAGCTGACAGCAAAGGTGTGAATACATGTCTAGCATTTGCATTGATGTCCCATTATCATCCACTAGTGTGTCATTTTATGACAGCTTTTTACATTCTCTCCTCCTGCCCTCAAAGTATTCCTTTTGTTTGTGCCCACTCTTTTACTTGTGTATTTTGCAGTGTGTTCCCTCACTTTGTTTCACAACAAACCACCACAATATATTTACTTTATTTATTTTTGATTCCCTCAAAGAGACTATGCTCAGGTTCATACCAGTGTTTACTGCAGTAGTATTTGTACTTTCATATCTTGTCTAATCCTTTGATTTCTGATTAATCCTTCTAATTAATAATCAGTGAAACATTTTAGATGAAAAACTAAACACTTTACCAAGATATCCATGAAGTACTACATGTCTCGTGCTAAAATGACTATGGCAACCATGTGCATTAACATGACAGTTTGTGCAACACCCTTCAGTTATTAACTATGCATTCAGTTTCCAGTGTCTGCCTGTCACTAGAGTCTCTGTGGGTGATTGTTCTGCTGCATTTTCCACTTCTAAAATATATTTAACATGCTTTTGCTTCTGGACAAACAGGCGTGTTATGATGTACGTGAAGCAAGTGCATTCTGGGCTAAAATGAGTGTGTTGGACAAGGAGTGTGAGTGGCTTTCCACACATCCTAGTAACGAGACTCGACAGCTTGTATTAGATTCTCTGATGCCTTCAGCCATACGGCTGCGGGATGATTGCAAGGTAAGGCCTGTCTGTTGTAACATACCTAATAAGTTCTATTCATTATTAGTTTTATCTACATAACCATTTTATATTTCATTCCGTTCATACATCATGTTTACTTTTGCAGTGTCCGCAACTGCCACTGGTGGATCCACGCATGCTCACAGCTGTCAAGCAGAAGAAAGCAGTTATATAAAAATAATGAATAAGAAATGTTTGCTAATTTGTAGTTATAGTGAACTGTATTCAACAAAGAATAAAAATGACTACTTGTAAGGCACTGAATGCCTTCTAGGCTTGATACCATCCTGCTACTTTCTTGTGAACCTAAAAGATTCTTGGTACTAGAATAGTGTTATAGGTGAAGTCATGCTGTATTAAGCTCACTTTTCCACTATTATGGGCAGTAACTTGAAAACAAAAGTGCTATCATACAAGGCTTTTTAAAATTTAAGGAAACAGTTTCAATTTCCTAATTCCATGGTAAGCTTTTCTAAAGGATGAAGTTAACATTTTAGTCACAATGTGATGCTGGTAATGTTAACCTAATCTAAAGGTTTATATGAATATTTTATGCAGGAGCTTTTCAAATCATCCCACCACTTTTCTCTATGATTTAACATTTTATTATGTTTCTTTCTTAATAATTTGAACAGCACATGGGTATTCTCATTAGACCTCTTGCATTGTCTTTGGTCATTATATGGCTTGCGTAACACTTAATGTTTATTGAAGACTGAAATAAAAGTTTTAGACCCGTGATGTATATACATTTAAGTTAAGCCAATTCTTCTATGTACAATCAGCTGTATTTTTCTAGAAATTATCTCATAAATGTAAGCTACATGTAAAGTAGGGGGGACACTGAAGCACTACCTCCAAGGAGCAGAGTCCATCTTCAGAAGCTAATAGAAACTTGGCGTAGTCAAGAAACTCATCTTTATGGAGCCCAAAGCAGCCTACCACAGGCCCCAACCTTAAGCCAGATGAATTCACTCCACACTTCTGACCCTAATCATGATCCATTTTAATATTATCCTGTCCATATTCAGGTCTTCCAAATGATCTCTTCCCTTTGTATATGTATTTCTGACCTTTTCATACATATGTGCCCCATCCTTCATCAACATAATTGGGGAATATAAATATGAAGTTCCTTATTACTTATTACATTATTTTCTCAAGCCTTTTGTCATTTCCACTTACAACCAAATATTTCCCTCTATACTAAATCACTATTTTACCCACAGGTTTGGTTTACACATACTACAGTGGCTCACAGCCAATGTAGAATGTTGAGAAAAGACACCAATATGAACCAAAACAAAGTTTATTACAACCATCAGTCTAAGCCTCCATTCCAAGTGTACCTAGTGGCTCCAGTACTCAAAAACATGGACAGGCACAATCACACTCCGTAAAGAATGTATTGCAACTAAACCAAATGCCACCCTGCACTCTTCATATAGAGGGAGAGCAACCTTTTCATAGTACATGACATGTTGAAAAATATGAAGTTTGTCATACCAATTTTAAGTTTTGGTACCTAGTGAAAATAAGAGAATCTAATTTTTCAGTTCATTAAGTCAGTTATGGCAACATTTGACTGCTAAATATTTCTTGGTTCACTGACTCTGGGTTGGGCTATGAGGACTTGTAGGTGGATACCTACAGTTTGAAGGAACATACTGCTGTCCTACAAGACCAGACAGCGACCACCACGGACAAAACCACTGAACCTACAAGTCAAAAAGATATGGTCCACCAATGACCATGAATGTGTCATGGCATGATGCCATTCACATGACAATTTCACTATTTTTCAAAAGCAGTGGGAAGCACATACTTGTATTGCATTCACCAGCTTTCACCAAATACAATTATAGGGTCCTGAGTTTATGCCCTGGTGTACTATAAAATTACATCAGAGTTCATGATACATATAATAATGGGGCCATGCACCCCAGCAACATTAAAATGACTGAAAAATGTTTTAACATTCAAAGAGAATACTGCTTGCTAATAACTACACAAAATTACATTAACAATTTAGATCATAGTATCAAAAACAATAAATTACTCTATTCTATTAAATGTAACAATTTAAGATCAATGCTTATCAGCCAGATTTCCCCCAAAAGATGAGTACAAATTATGGAGCTCTTTATTATGCAATTTTCTCCACCCTCCTGTCAGTTCATCCCTCTTAGGTTCAGATATTCCCATCTGCACTATGGCCTATATGTTTTTTCTAAATGGGGCCCCACCTCAAGAAGTCAGAAGATTGTATCATTTATACAGATATTAAAAATATTTGTATGGGAATGAAAACTGCTAAGCTGCAAAAGTTTAATATAACACCTTACAAACCATTTCCAATGTGAAGACCCTTTATGGCAAATCTTTATTTCAAACAAAATACCACATCGTGCTTAAATTGTAACTACTTTGGGCATTCATACTTAAATCAAATGGGAACTATAAATCAGTTATCTGTATGGGAACTGAATATTTTCAGATGAAACTATGATAACCATTTTCACATCTCTACTACACCTAGAAAGTATCAGTATAAAAACACATTGGTCAAGTCCTGTTACATCTGTCATGATTTCAGAGCTTCCAAATTTGTATAAAATTTAATGTTCTAACATTACAACTTACTTATATAATTTTCTTATCTGTATGAGGCAGTAACATGGTTAGAAGAAAAACTGCACATCCAACGCTTCCAAGAAAAGTATTTATGCTTCAGTAATGATGACAGTAGTAAATGTACTCAACATTTTTGTGCACCCCACGTTTTAGACCTTTGAAGCTGAAGCTCATCTTAATAATGCATAAACATTCAGTTTACTGCAGTTTACTCTATTACAAAGATCAAAAGGCAAACAATGTATAAGGAAATAATCGGTTTATTCTGAGAATAATATAGAACCCATAATACATTTTGTGGGCAAAACACAGTTATTGGTTGTTAAATATGTTAGTATATATAGTTAACCACTTCTCTTTAAAGGGTTAATTACATGGATTCCTTTAATGGTTCTTTATGTGTAAGATCTAATTTTTTTAAAGTTGCCAAGCACGACATGTGGGATGCACAAGCAAATATCCACTCCTCACTATTAATTACGATGTATTCACCAAAGACGTTACGCAGCATGAAACGAGAGAGAATAGGACAATTTTGAAAAGTATGACATGTCAAGGATCAGTGTTCACCCACCTGAAAGTATTATCTCACATGATATGCCCATGGGACAGGAAGATCATGAAGACCCAAATCAGGCTATCCAGTCCCAACCAGGTGATTGAAATGTCCGAATATGAAACAAGGGTGATACAACGCCACTTAACCCCGCCAACTATGATTCATACTCTTGTGACAAGGAAATGTTTTGAAAGTTAAAGTCTCATGACTAAATTATCTAGTTATTTCACTCACCAACAGCTTTGTCAGTGTTTTAGACATCAATGAGAGCAACTTCAATGATTTAACTGTTACTTTCAAAATGATAAATTTAAATTACTTACACAAGACACAATTTAAATCTAGGTCCATAAATTATCATACAGGTTTCTAAAGCCATGCAACAATTTTTAGTAACATTGTACTGAAGTATGGCACAAAAATATGTTACCCAATCTCTCTTATTTTAACATTCCAAATGTAGAAGCTCGTAACCATGAGAAAGTTGTGCTTGATTTAAAAAGAACAGTTCCTCAGCATGGAGTGTTAGTTATGGAGTGAGGGGATATAATTTACAAAATCTCCACTTAAAGGTAATGACCTGCATATGACAGGAGGTACCCACATTGCCCTCCAACACAATGAAATGAAAATCTTGGATTGCATCTGCAGTTGCTGGTGTAAGACTGGTCAGCGCTCTTCAATGTCGATCCTTCCTGCAACATACATAATTCATGTCTGTATGAATGTGAATAGACTTACATGTATAAACAAAAGTTAAATTTCCCATCTGCTAAAGCACCATACCATGAAGGTGTATAAGGAATGTCAACACAAAGTTCCATGCATCCTACAGCCTAGCATTAAATAGGGGATATGTGGCCAAGCATCACACCGTAGCGATACCAAGTGGTTTAAAGTCTGGCTAGGCCCCAGAGCCAGTCTGAACTTCAAGAGAGATGTGAAGTCCCAGAGCCTACTCTGAACTGAACAATTTTTAAAAATCCTTAGGCACCAATGTATGAAATATGAAGATTAAAATAATGTGAATATTAAGTCCCAAAGTTATCTTTCCTATTAAGAATGGGCATACATGTCAGTTTCCAAAATAAATCACAATTAAAGGGGTTTTAAATTACTTGTCAGAGTATGTACTCATACAAAATAGGAAAACATCTTCACTCAGGAATGTGACAAATTTGTTTCTGTTACAGTTCAATGACAATGATAAAAGAACTGATGCTGCTGCACGGATGTGAAGGATAACTGTATCAAAAGATAACAAACCCACTTAATGACACTCCTGATACTTTTGGCATACATAACTGATCATTTCTACACTCATAGCTTCAAATTTCCAAAAGATAATGTGAATTACTTGAATACTTCCATACTTTGACTGCATACTACTGTTTTTGCATTAATTAATTAAAACTTTTGGCATCACATTAAAAAACCAATGGAAATAAAAAAATACATCTGAACACTGTAAATCCTGTTTCCAGACATTGGGCACTTATAAATATACTTCTCTGAGTTATGGCCTCATAATTTTCACATCTTGGTTTGTCAAAACATATTCATTTAATACCAACCCTATAAATACTTAAATGAATTTGTGCTTCTGAATTAAACAGAACATGAAGTTATACCATGCAGACACAACTTTCAAGCAGGTCATACATAATGCTTTTTGTTATGATATTGATATCAATTTACATGTGAGTGTTGATTGAATTACACTCTATCATGTGTAGCAAAATCAGGTACATGGCAAGATCCTTGACTCACAGAGCACAGACCCCATCATGTCTGCTACATCAAATAGGATAAGCTTCTGTATAGAACCAACAAGGATATCGACCTTGTGAATACCCATTACCGCCCGGTTTACCTGGACCTGTAACTGTGGTGCCTGTTTGAATCTGCTGCTGGAGAACTTGACCGAGAATTGCTACTCGATGACCTGAGACCAAAGAAAGAAGTCTTAGTTACAACAGATGGTCACAGTAAAATGACAAAAGAAAGATGACTAATTTGCTGTTTGCCGATTCTTGGGTTATTTGACAATGCTTTTTCAGTTGTGTGGGTAAAAAAGCAAAAAATGGTATAACAGGATAAATGGAAATAATACAACTGAAAGCAGCTCTGGCAGCATTTGCTTCCAGACTGACCAAGCCACAAAACCTCTCTCAGGGCAGCTGGTCTACAGACCAAAATTCAGACAGAACCTCCAGAATATGAAGCAGGAAT